CATTCCTAACGAACTAAGCAATCTTCCATTATCTTTTCATTGCTTTGAAAATCCGGCTGTTCTCCATGCCGTTCAGTCCATATATGACTATCAAGTCACTTGTTGTTTTGAATTCTGCAATGGACCATTCCTAACGAACTAAGCAATCTTCCATTATCTTTTCATTGCTTTGAAAATCCGGCTGTTCTCCATGCCGTTCAGTCCATATATATGACTATCAAGTCACTTGTTGTTTTGAATTCTGCAATGGACCATTCCTAACGAACTAAGCAATCTTCCATTATCTTTTCATTGCTTTGAAAATCCGACTGTTCTCCATGCCGTTCAGTCCATATATGACTATCAAGTCACTTGTTGTTTTGAAATTCTGCAATGGACCATTCCTAACGAACTAAGTCAACTTTAATTGTTTCTGTGTTCATCCAGATTTTTTTTACATTTATTTAAGAGGCAATTTTTTTCAATGTCACGTATTTGCAATGAAAAGTGTTCAAAACCTAAAATCTTTTTGGCGTTCCTCTCAAAATTACTTTGTTTTAGCTTTATTCTCTAGTTTATAGAGTTAGCAACCTTTTTAAATGCATCTGCCAGTTGAGAAACATAAAATAATAGTTAAAAATTGTCAATTAAAATACAATTATCAATGATGCTTTAAAATTGACGCCATATTTACAGCCATATAAGCAAAACCTACTGAACTTCAGACACCATTTTCTCTTTGGCGTATCATCTAAAATCTCTTCATTTTAGCATCATTTTACAGATAAAGCACTACGTATCGAAAAATAAAAATTTTGAATTTGGTCATAACCTCAAGTGGTATGTTATATACACATTAGTTTTGAGCGAGTGTTACGTAACATACAAAAAAACTCTTAATAGTTTTATTTTGTCTGACGTTTCGGTTCCCTATACGGAAACCATTTTCAAAAACAGCTAGCCAACTTTATTAAGCCAACTTTATGATTGGCTCTATCAGTTCTGAACTGTTCTTCCTAGAGATCCAATAAGCGCCATCTCTGTTTGTCTATTGTACCTGTATGTCCATCGTTACACCGTGAGTTCACGGGAGATCCATTGTGAACCATCATTGCACAAATAGTTGCGTTACCTGAAAAAAGTACAGAAACTATTTACATGAAAATTTAACCAGAACTACTATTTAACAATAACTAAACTTTACTTACCGTATATTGGCTGGCACTATCAATTCTAAAATGTTCTCCCTAGAGTCTAGAGGTTTAGTAAGGTCCAGTGTTATTACTGTAGGAAATCGGAGTATCTGGTGAAAATCTGCAATGTTTGGTCACAGATTAAGAATATACTGTGATCTGTGGTTTGGTAGAGTCAAACTGGATATACAGGGTGTATCAAAATAAACGCAATTCATCTTTTATGCTTAATAACTTTCGAAATACTATTTCTAGTTAAACGCTTTTAGGCTTACTTCAAAGCCTGTTCTTTTCTCTTTCAAACAAAGTATTATCCTTGTCTCCAATGCTAGTAACAATTGTACAGGAAAAGATTTAGTAAAACCTATCATTTTTAGTTGCTGTTTAATTATGCAAGTTTTGACTATGTTATTGTTTAGTCGGTTTAAATGTTAGAATTTTCTTCTTTAAACATTAATGTTGTCGTCACTACATCTGGAAAACCACGTAAGAACAAATTAAAAGTATTTTAAAAGAGACCAGGTTGTTTGAAAATCCTAAACGAATGCTAAAAATCGTCAAAACATTCTGGTGTCTGAGCCAGAGTGTCATCGAATTGCGATGTAATGTAAACAGAAATTATAGCAAGTTGATGTCAGTCAGCTTAGATGGTCCAAGCCAAAATTATATCGCATTTGAAGTTTCAAACTCAGTTAAAAATAGTGGAAGAAAAGCCGTAATTATACTTATTGTTACAATCCATTTAATAAAATGCAACATTTTTTTGTTTTAATGAAAAAATCAGTTATTTTCATGAGAACGATTTGTTATTCCATCTCAATTTTTTTAATCTCCAATCGCAATAACGTAAAGTATTATTACCCGCGAACCAATGAGTCAAATTTAAGAAACAACCCACTGTTAGAAAGCTGAATGGCTACGCTTTAAAATGAATGTAAACTTTAACGTTTTCGTCTATTATTTGTTTAGCAATTTACATTTCAGTCAAGGATTGCGCTTTTTTTGATACACCCTGTAGACCCATTGCACATGACGTCACAGCGCCGGTGACGATGCATCTGGAGGACAAATTAGCAATCTATGCATAATATAACTTTTGTAAACAAAGCAAATTTTCTAAAAGTTTATAATAATTTTGTATACACCCTTTTCGTAAATGGCTGCCGATTAAAAATTCTTTTATGTGCATATAAATTGGCCCAACTATCCTCGTTTCTGGGTAGAAATTCCTTTGAAATCTTAACATGAGTACGAGGCTAGTTGAGCCAATTTATATGCACATAAAATAATTTTTAATCGGCAGCCATTTATGAAAAGGGTGTATTAAAATGTTTAATTTTTGCGCTGTATGTGGTTGTTGTGAACACTCTAAGGATTTGTGACGTCAGTGCAATGGGTCTATACTGCAGGAATGGAAACCACTGTCCTACCTGCATTAGCCGCCCAGTGCAAGGCCAGACGACCGTTTGTATCAGCGAATGTCGAGTCTGCACCATATTTCAACAAGTGTTTTATTACTACGTCACTGCGTTTGTCATCGTCTGAGCCTGCGTTGATGGCATAGTGCAGCGGTGTTGCGCCTGAAACATCTTGACAGTTTGCCATTGAACCGTTGACAAGAAGACTCAGTATGCAATCAATGTGACGATTGTCTAAATCGAGAATAAAAGCAGCCAGTTATGTATACAGCATTTAATTCATGAGGAAAGTACAAAAGAAATCACTGTCGATTTGCACATAGTCTTTCAAAACATGGTTTGGAAACTCAGCTAAAGTCTTTGTTATATCTTTTTGTTCGCGTTTATGCAGTTTTGTGCACGGTGCACGGTCAATGAACACAATGTATTTCAGCATAAATCCGTAATGAACGGATCATCCAATGGCAACGTTTCAGTTCAGGCATTCAACCATGGTATTTAAATATTAATAAACCTAAAACAAAGGATGTGCACGGTGTAAGGTATGGCTCAACATAAACACACAGCTCATTATAACCGCTTTGAAGTTTACTGAGTTTCCAGACTATGTCTCGAAAGACTATGATTTGCATAACCTTTATCTTTGATTTTCTCAGCTTAGACAAGGTTTATTTTTAAAATTACTTCGCCAACGAACTCATCAGATGGGTCGTTTTTTAAGCCATTTAAAACGCTCGCAGTCCGTGCTTTCTCAGACATAAAACACTCGAGCCACACAATAAAGATCAATGCAGAAAGGCCACTCACGTCGGAAGCTTTGAAGTTTCTGTCCTCGCGCATGTCACATTGCGCATGTTGGCCGCCATTTTCCTAGCCAGTCAATGACATTTTCTGGCCAATAAACACGCTGTACTGGCTGGCTGCTCCGCCTTCTGGCAAGTAAACTGCATATTTTTGCATAAAAAAACGAGGACACGTTGCACCACTAAGTGGCCCTTCTGTTACTGATCTTTATTCTGTGCTCGAGCTGCGCTCTCGTGTTTTATATCTGATAAAACACTCCTGCTCGTATTTTAAATAGTACTAATTTGAATACAGTTACCATTCGCGATTCCTTGCCTACTTCGATGAACTTATAATTAAAACTTATTCGGGCGGGATAGCCGTCCTACCGTGGGGATGCAGGGGTGCGCACCCCATCTAGGTGTCTATAGCACCCATCTAGAGAAGTCCAGCACACCCTAAAAAGTCTGCTTGACCATACATTTTCTGTTTTTCGAATAGCGATTAGCAGAACCTCTACTGTTAGTGAGATCACGAGAAAATAGTCGGAATGCTTTAGTTAAATATCATGTTTAAATATGTAAACATGTCGACGTTGATATACAGCCATATTTTCAAATATACTGTACTGTGCTACATTAACTGTTCAGTCACGCATACGTGATAAAAAGCCGATATAAACTTTATAAACAAAAGATAATGTGAAACGTAACAGATCGGCGAACATGCAGATTCGGCCATCTCAAATAATAGTAATGTTGGGATAGTAGCGTTGCAGACTGCAGAAGAGAGTGTGCAGTAAGGCTCCCTCATGCACCACCTCATGGAACACCTGCACCCCTCCATTGCAGATAAGGCTAAAGATCCACCCCTGTGAAGTTAGCTTGAATTCCAAATTATTTCTTAGTAAATTTACAATTTTGTTATTATTTCTTCACCTTGGGAATTGAAGCAAAGAATCTAAGCGAAAAAAGTGGGAAAATTCAATAGAATCACTGGTGTGCAACCATCCGTATTTCCCAGAAAATTTCTCGCGAAGTATTTCGCCGTCGTGGAAACCAGGTCTTAAGGATGCCAAAATTTGGATTAACAAATCATCCATTCTAACTTTTATGGCAAGACGATGTGTTCTTGCAATGGAATAAGCTTTTTTCAATTGAACAAATATTGATCTCTGAAACCGTTCTGCAGTACATGCGTTTTTTTAACCGCAGTGAAATTATATGCAAACACGGCCGCAAAACGTGCATGTTGGCAGGCATGTCTGTGGTCAAATCTGACCACAGAAATGGCGGCCAAAATTGTGGGGCTAATATTTCAGAGCGCTACCATGATAATGTAGAACGTATTACTTGTCACATTTAAACCAAACCAAACGTTTTCACTTTGTGAATAGAATACAGCGTGTAATAATGTTGACGTCAGCAATATTATTAAAGACTATCTAAATCTAACTATGGAAAGAAAAAATGCGTAAACGTTTTGTAGAATGTTCTATGTAATGTTCTATGTAATATTTTGTATGTTACGTAACACGCGTTCAAAACTAATCAATATACTTTTCCACTTGAATTTGACTATATTCAAATTTTTGATACGTTTCAAAAAGTATGTTTAGTGCTTTATCTGTAAAATTATATGCTAAAATGAAGAGATTTTAGATGGTACGCCAAAGAGAAAATGATGTCTGAAGTTCAGTAAAGTTTGGCGTATATTTTTCTGTATAATATGGCGTCATGAATTTTGTTTCCATCTGCCAAACTGACGTTACGTCATTTGCTCAATTTCTAAAGTTGTTTCTTTTTGGATCTTTTTTTATTAATTGGTTAGGGTTGGAGTTTGGGTTGAGGTTATTGAGTTTGGGAGGAGGATTTGGGTTAGTTACATAGCCATTTAACACATCTTCCGAAAATGATGTCCTGTCAGTTTGGTAGATGGAGACAAGTGCTGTCAGCAATGATAATTGTACTTAAATTGACAATATTGAACTATTTTGTGTTTCTCAACCGCCAGCTGCATTTAAAAAGATTGCTAACTGTGTAAACTACAAAATAAAGCTAAAACAAAGCAATTTTGAGACCGAGAGGAACGCCAAAACGATTTTAGCTTTTGAACACTTTTCAACGTAAATACGCGATATTGCCTCTCACTGAAACCCCTCTGATGAAAGCACCAGTCTTGTGTAATTGTTAAAGTCAACAAAGTTATAAGGGCATGCATGTTGCTTCATGGAGGGTTAATCCGCTAATATGGAATGAATATTCATGCCACTTAGTATATTAAGCATTAAAAACAATATCATGTCAAAAGTATTATTCGTACAAAGATTTTTATCATGCAATCTTAATTGCCATGCCAACCAAGTATCACTTGTATATCTGACAAAACATATGGCCATATTGAATGGCCATAAACCATGACCTGCCACATGACCAGTTGGTAAAAGCACAACAATTGATTTTGAGAAAATGTCGTATGTATTCTCCGCTCGTCATATGCCTAGAGCTGGAAGCAGCCTACCCAAACCGGTTGTATTTGTCATTGGTAGCAGTGGAAATGTTGGCCAAGCTACTATTAATGCACTCTCGATTAAATACGGTCGAAAGTTAGACATTAGAGCTGGCGTTCGCAAACCTGAGTCACTCACAGCGTTCAAACATCTTACGGGAGTCACGGTTGTAAAAGCTGATATGGGGCAGTATGAGGAGTTAAAGGAACTTTTCAAAGGTGTTAAGTCGTTACTCATTGTCACGCCTGGCACTGAGAATCGTGTAGACCTTGCGCTGAAGACTGCCGAGGCAGCGAACGATGCAGGCGTAGAGTATATTGTCGTTATTAGTGGCACAGATGCTGAAAAACAAGACACCGTATTTGGCAAACAACTCTACGAGGTCGAACAAGCTGTACTGGGCCTTGATGTGGCTTGTACAATACTCCGCCTTCCATGGTTTATGGAAAACTATTTCAATTTTAAAGACTCCATAAAGAAGGACTTAATATTTCACGCCCCTGCTGACGCGAGCAAAGAATTCCAAGTCGTGTGCATGGATGACGCGGGCTCAGCGGCCGCCGCAATTTTGGCTTCGCCCGAGAAACACGCGGGAAAGATCTACTCGCTCGTGAGCGACCGGAACACCTTCGAGCAAGTTTCGGAAGCCTTCACGCGTGCTCTGAGCAGAGAAATAACGTACATGAGAGTGTCCTATGACGAAACCAAACAGAGCTTACTAGAAGCAGGGCTTCCAGAGTGGATGATTGAAGGATTCTTGCAGTTTTATACGACCGTCGATTCTGGGACAGCACAGGCATTAGGAGGGGATGAGCATTTCAAACAAATTACTGGGAAGAATCCGACCAAATTGTTGACATGGATGAATCGTTTTGCAAACGCGTTTAAATGACAAATATAGACAAACTATACTACGATTATAGCATAGCATATACGATAGTTTGTAGGTGGAAATTTTCGAGTTCAAATTTTATACATTTATTAGACCAGGAACAGCCCCCCTCTGTGTAGCGCTCTAAGGGGCCGATTACATGGACCATTTTCAACCCCGGGGTTGAACTCAGCCCTGTTTACCGGGTTGAAATTTCAGCCCTGTCTGTAATACAAAACTCTATCAAAATCAAACGCGCGATTACATGACAAAATTTTCAACCCAGGGCTGAGTTGAAATTTCAACCCCGGGGTTGAACTCAGCCCTGGGTTGAAAATTTTGTCATGTAATCGTTTCAACCCAGGGCTGAAATTAATAAGAGTTGTTCGAGCATGCGTGGTAGTGACTATTTATTACAAGGAAACAAAATGAAGGCTTTTTACTTCCGCGAATCGATGCCGAGAACGTATAGTATAACGTTTTAACCCCGGGGTTGAAATCGTCCATGTAATCGCAAAAAATTTCAAACCGGTTAACAGGGCTGAGTTCAACCCCGGGGTTGAAAATGCTCCATGTAATCGGCCCCTAAGCGGTGCAGTGCTCTAACCAACTGATTTCCAGGGGCCAGTTCTCTAAAGCCCTGGGCAAACTAGGAAACATTGTTGCGGAAACATTGTTTCCTACCAATGTTTTGCCATGTTTCCAAGAGTGGGCAAACACTAGGAAACATTAGTGAGAAACATTAGTGAGAAACATAGGGAAACATCAAATGTTTCTGAATTCGCCAGGAAACATTTTTGCTTCCCGGGAAGCAAATTTTGTTTCCGCAACAATGTTTCCACGGGTGGGCAAACGGGGAAACATTTGAGGAAAAATCGAGAATCACAAATGTTTCCACAACAATGTTTCCACAACAATGTTTCCTAGTTTGCCCAGGGCTTTAGATCTATCGCGTGAGATGGCCGAACTCCTGATATTTGCTATGCTAGTCTATTATATTCTTGTGATTTCCTCTGCTGTCATAGTGCCCACCATCATTTTTTTGCTACCATTAAAATACCTGAATAGATTGTTTTATTTCTAGCTATTTTTTAACTAGTTTCGTCATAAGGATCCAGAGTCTTCACGGTTGATCCGTCTCTTGTATAAATGAGCGCATTTATGGACGAGGTTGCCTTATGGTATTAAGGCTTGGTTTTCACTATCAAAGTTTCTGTGATCGCAGGAATTTTGGCTATTTTGCATGGGTAAATTTGAAGGATTGGTAAAGCTTCGGATACACGAGCAATATTTCTGCTGCGATGGTTACGCAATGGGTGATAACAGCATTGCGTTGCCGTCACACAAGGTGGCTACACCTGCAATATTTCACCTGCAATATATGTCTTCATAACGCTTTTCATTGGCTGGTCAAGAAACGTGTCATTCATCAACCTTGACCTTCCTTGACCACACCTCCCAATTTTCGGCAATCATTGCCGAAAATCAAATGATTTGAAATTTCGGCAACGATTGCGCGCAGCTTTGCGTTGCCGTCGCAGAGCATGATACACAAGCAATTTCTTTCTCGCGACGGCAATGCAACGATTTTACCACCATTGCATTGCCATCGCCAGAAAAGTATTGCCCATGTATCCGTAGCTTAAAAGGAACTGACTCGACGTTTTTAGCTTTTTAGTTATTTTAGGAAGCCAGTACCTCTACACTTTTAAATATCAAACTTGTTAAAATTTTCGGTAACTGTTTATATGTAGGTAAATAAAATTTGTTGTTGTTGTTGTTGTTGTTGTTGTTGTTGTTGTTGTTGTTGACTCAGTATTAGACAGAGTCCGTTCCATCAAACATTTCTTGGAATTTTTAAAAACTTAGAATATACCTATGCAAAATTCCTACTGTGATCACATTGAACTTTTATAGTGTAAAGCTAATACACACGCAAAATTCTCACATCTTGTAGCAAGTCTGCCAAGATTACAAGTTGTCTTCGCACTGTTTGTCCCAAGTTGTTAACAAGTTTGGAACAAACTGTTGACAACTTGTAACAACTTTGTTGATATTGATTTTTTCTGTGTTGGTGTAATGTACTCAGGTGAATATGATGCTTGTGATGTTTATACTCTGAGTGTATATCCACACCGGGCTAGCTTGAAAAATGCTAGAAAAAATTGACATCGAAGGAACTAGATTCTGTTCCGAAATATCACATACACACGTGAAAACGCACAAGTTGTTACAAGTCTACAAACAAGTTGTTACAAGTCTGTTCACAAGCTGTCAACAAGTTGTGTTCGCACTGCTTGTTCCCATTTTGTTGTAACAAGTTTGGAGCAAGCTGTTAACAACTTGTAACAAGCTTGATGGCATTATCAGACTTGTTACAAGACTGTGCTAACAAGTTTGTTACAGCTATGATATAACAAGGATGTTACAAGGTTGTCAACAGAAGGTTGTAACAATCTTGTTATATCAAGTATGTAACGGGCTTGTCAGAACAACCTTGCAACAAGTCTGATAATTTCGACAAGGTTGTTACAAGTTGTCAACAAGTTGTTCCAAACCTGTTGACAACTTGTGACAAGCAGTGCGAATACATCTTGTTGACGGCTTGTTGGCAGACTTGTTACAAGATGTGAGATAATTTTACGTGTGTACTCGAACCGACCTGACCGCGTAGCCAGTAGCCTGAAATGTCAGGCGTTCTTTGTATGTTTGCATGGCGATAAAATATAATAGTTTTGTTTGTGGAAACACCACGTAAATTTATTACTGCAAAGCTTTCGATCCGTAAGCCCGGATCTTCATCAGTGCTAATAATATGTTTATTTCATATTATTAGCACTGATGAAGATCCGGGCTTACGGATCGAAAGCTTTGCAGTAATAAATTTACGTGGTGTTTCCACAAACAAAACTATTATAACAATACTGTTACAACCTTCTGTCATCAACCTTGTAGCATGCTTGTTATATCATGACTGTATCAGACTTGTTAGAACAACCTTGTAACAAGCCTGATAATGCCATCAAGCTTGTAACAAGTTGTTAACAAACTTGTTACAAGAACTGGGAACAAGCAGTGCGAACACAACTTGTCGACAGCTTGTGAACAGACTTGTGACAACTTGTTTGTAGACCTGTAGCAACTTGTGCGTTTTTACGTGTGCGTTTTACCCTACAACTAAAAGTTGAAGGGTTTTTCTACATGGAAATTTGAAGTGGAAGATTATAAACAATTTTAGCAACTGCGAAAAATGCAACTTTGGCCCTCTGGCAGAAGCCCTGCGATTCCAGTGTCACTTCTAACCAAAGCCCTGGGCAAACTAGGAAACGTTGTAGAAACATTGTTTCCTGCCAATGTTTCCCAGAGTGGGCAAACACTAGGAAACATTAGTGAGAAACATAAGCCCTGGGCAAACTAGGAAACATTGTTGCGGAAACATTGTTTCCTACCAATGTTTCGCCATATTTCCCAGAGTGGGCAAACACTAGGAAACATTAGTGAGAAACATAGGGAAACATCAAATGTTTCTGAAGTTTGTAGGAAACATTTTTGCTTCCCGGGAAGCAAATTTTGTTTCCGCAACAATGTTTCCACGGGTGGGCAAACATGGAAACATTTGAGGAAACATCGAGAATCACAAATGTTTCCGCAACAATGTTTCCTAGTTTGACCATGGCTAGCTGAGTGAATGAATTGTTCACGTAAGGAGATATTTACCATGTTTCTAAGAAATGGGCCCATATATGATTTCTAAACTGATTAAATGATGCTGCCATTATGCTATGCACGTTTTGAGTTTAAGGTTTAGAGTTTAAGGTTTGCAAAGGATAACCTTTTTTGAATTAGCTGTATTAATAGTGGGCGATGCCAATAAACCCAACTTACCAACAGCAAAGTGAAGTGCGGTGTGTCCCTTGCTATCCACCGCTTCCACATTTGTCTGAAATTCCAGGAGAATCTTCAAAGCGTCTACGTTATTTTCCATTACTACAATATGTAGTGCTGTTAAGGAATCTTCGTTCTTCTTCTCGATCATTTCTGGAAATAACTCGCACATCCATCGAATGGTTGAAAGATATTTTGATGCTAGAAGACGATGGAAGAGCTTCAACTTGACCTTTTCTCCTCGAGTAACCTGCAAATGAATGGAAGCTCAGACTTGGCAAGGTTCTGCCGTGAGAGTGTGAGTCGAGCACATTTTGACCACAATCTCATAAAAAAATTTCTTGTTCTAAAAATCTGACATCGTCACATTTAGAGATCTTTCACTTAGAATGATGTGATTTTCCCACAAAGGCAGTGGCCTGTAGCGGAATAGCCGTCACGAAAATCTATATCGGCTATTTTTGAAGACATTGAATTTCAAACGATATGAGAAAGGTTCAAAACTGAGAGGTAACACTGAAATCATGTGCGCACGTGGTAACGCTGAAATTATGTGCGCACGTGGTACACACGCAAAAATCTCACATCTTGTAACAAGTTTGTCAACAAGTTGTGTTCGCACTGCTTGTCACAAGCTGTTAACAATTTGTAACAACCTTGTTGATATTATCAGACTTGTTGCAAGGTTGTTGCAACAAGTCCGATGCAGTCATGATATAACAATATTGTTACAACCTTGTGTCGTCAACCTTGTGTAACTTACTTGTTATACCATGACTGTATCAGACTTGTTAGAACAACTTGCAACAAGTCTGATAGTGCCATCAAGCTTGTTACAAGTTGTTAACAGCTTGTTCCAAACTTGTTACAACAACTGGGAACAAGCAGTGCGAAAATAACAAGTTGACAGCTTGTGAACAGATTTGTAACAACTTGTTTGCAGACCTGTAACAACTTGTGCGTTTTTACGTGTATAACACTGAAATCATGTGCGCACGTGGTAACACTGAAATTATGTGCGCACGTGGACTTTCAAACTACTGTTCGATGAGGAAAATGCAATGTATGTTGTTTCATTATGTTTTGGGGAAGAAAATTGTAGATTTCTTGGCTTGGGATAGGTTGGCAAGTCTGTAACCTATGTAAATGTTTTCTAATATAAAAGTTTTAGTTAGGGAGCATTATATAGATATATTGAGAGGGGGCGAAAGTCCGAAGTTTTGTCGAACGTTTTTTATCGTGTAGAAGCTTTGTAGGAATTTTTGAAATTGTGATGAGAGTTGATGACAGTTCTCACTATGCGCGCAGTATTATCCAGTCCACTCTCATCGACTGTCATGCAACTTCGCAATTAGGATCCCGTATCCTAGGAAACGAAGTAACTGACTTTCAAGTTCCCGTTTCCTAGGATACGAGACCTGATTGCGAATTATGAATAAGGTGTATACACACAAGCCCTTTTTATTATATTCCAGGTCGTTCAGACACAATATAAACTCAGGGCGTTATATTAAAACACCCTGAGGCTGAGTGTTACAGCGCCCTGATAAACTACAGCAAAACTACACTTTATTTATTTGTACTGGATAACTTTATCAGTTCTAAGCTCTTCTTCATAGTGTTAGAGTAAGGGTAGTTGGTCAGAAGACATTAGAGACTTTTAAGATCGCTGGGGGGTTTCACGTTTTACTAGAACACGATCTTGAGATTCGTGACATACGCCAATGCTCTTCACTGCACTGAATGGTATAATCCCATTTTCCAAGTATAGCTAGCTTGAAAACTCTGCAGCCATATAATAAACCGATTATTGACCTCGCTTGTTCGGTCTGTACTGTGAAATATCAGACCTCTGTTTTTTTGCATGGACCTCGCTCCTTCGTCGCTCGGTCCATACTAAAGAACCTCGGTCTGATATTTCACAGTACAGACCTCACGCTCGGTCAATAAGCCGTTAAAACCGAAGTGAGTTTATATAAGAGTAATAAGACATCCGTGTTTTGCGGTTTACAGGGAAAGCGTCAATCTTAATTAACTTCTTAAGCATTCGTCGAGGTGAAAAGTATATGCACTAACCATTGACCCAGCATGGTACCGTAGACCGTAGTACCCCAGTTCACTAGTACCATCATAGACTTAGTACCGGAGTACGTACAAAGTACCGGAGTACGTACACCAGTACCGGAGTACACTAGTACCGGAGTACCATATTAGATAGGTTTGACTACGACTATCATTAAGGGACTATTAATTCACCAATCAGATGCTTTTGATATTTTCGATTAACCAATCAGATGCAAACTTAGCCAGTGAGAGGTTGTGATAGCGGTAATGGAAGTCAAATCTGAACCTCTACTACCATAGTGTCGTAGTACCATGATAGTACTGTAGTACACCAGTACCGTAGTACCATATTACCATAGTGTCGTAGTTACCATATTACCATAGTGTCGTAGTACCATAGTACTGTAGTACACCGGTACCGTAGAACACTAATATCGCGTGTACCAGAGTACACTGAGTACCACAGTACCATAGTACTATTGGTATTTAAAAACTCAATAATTCCCATGAATTATTGAAAAGACAAAGGTGTCAATTTGGACGCAAGTCCTGTTCCTCTCTCCAGTCGCACCAATGTTGTATTTGTGCATGTTCTGTACTAGTGTCAGTAACCAATCTTGAGTTTGTATGTAAATGAATTGTGACAAATCAAAAATGGTTTTATATGTGATACAAAATCATTTAGCTTTGATTTTCTCGGCTTAGACAACGTTGATTTTTAAAATTACTTCGCCGATGAACTCATAAGATGGACCGTTCTTCAGCCATTTAAAACACTCTCAGTCCGTTCTTTATCAGATATGAGACGCTCGGCTGTCGCCTCGTGTTTTTATATCTGATAAAGTACTCCTGCTCGTGTTTTAATTAAATAGTACATAGTACTGTGGAACTATACAACCATGGAAGAACCGTGTTACCAGTATTCACGGGGGATTGGTGTCTTCATGGAATTATAACCACCAACCCCCCCCCCCCCTCCCCCCACCACATCTGACTTACTTGGCCACTGTTCCCTCCACTTTCAAGTTCGGAGTCCTTCGCAAAAGATGCACAAATGGATAGTATCCAGTCTTCTTTATCAATCACGCTGTCCAGCACAGCGCGACCAAGACGTGCGCCTTTCAGAATTAACAATTTCAAAACGTCCAACTGCTCCAACTCTGCTGCATAATTTGCGGCCGTTTTACCCGACGCGTCTTGCAAGTTCACGTCTATATTTCGTTTGATTAATATTTTGCATATTGTGCGAAATTCACCTCCGAATACAGCTTTCCATTTTGTTTTCAAGCGCTTTACGCAATGAATCAACAGCGATTCGCCTGCTTCATTTTGAATATTGATATTAAGCGTGTGATCGCGGTCTAAAATCTCCAGAAATTCCTGCGAGTCGCCAAGATGAACGATCCTGAAGATGTATTCACGATCGATTTCGTATGACATGTTTTATTCAGACGCGCTTTAGTTTGGTTTTGAAATATGATAACGTATTTGCGTTTCCAGGAAGTGAAACTATGACAGTACTGTAATTCTATACCATTCGTGGTTTTCGTTACCCTGGGTGCCAGAGGTTCTTCCACGCTCGTAGCAGGGCCGTTGCGAAGGGATATGGATTGGGGGGGTGTCGAAGGTCAAATTGCCGAGTGACGCTAGTTGAATTTGCCGAGTTTTTCAAAAGTTTGTAAAGGTTAGCCTGATATAGGTAATGAGAATCATATTGGTGTGCTAGTAACTGAGGGACACCAATATGGCTCTTGTTTTGAAATTGATGCCTGTTCGTCGGTTGTTGCTTTATATTAAACATATAAAGCTGAAAAAAAATTAAATATAACATAATTTCACAAGTCCTAAATCGAGACTGAAACTATGTGCACACGGGTCACGTTTTTGAGCGTTTTTGCAGTGCCGTTTTCAAATTAGCGTTTAGGCGCCTTGTTCATATTGATCGTTTTTCTCGCAACATTTTCTGACAAAGCACTAGTTTTTTATAGTCTTCGTTTCCAAATTCAAACACGGAATTTCCGAATTTCATTTTCGCCTTCTACTTTTCTGTTTACACAATAACAAAGTGCCAAAACGACCAAACGTTTCAGACATAGAGAACGAATGTTTGGCATCGTTTTCACTATTTGAAACGTTTTTGCTTCCTGACGTCGTTTTCATACGTTTTCGTGTGAACAGAACGTACGTGAAAATGGTACTTTCAGTTTCAGAAATTAACGCATTAATTACAACCAAAAACCGAAAAACGCTCGGAGACGGTACCGTGTGCATATAGTCTGAGTAACGAGTGTCTTAGACTGTGGTGCAGACGCGCATCTCCGCAAAGTCAGAAAAGTTATCCAAGTATTACCCTGGTTCCAGAGGTTTATTTTTATTATTTTCATTGCGAAGTGGAGAGGGAAAATAAACCTCTGGTTGAAAGCGGCAATTGATTCATTGAGCCGCGCCAATCAGTTTGAATTAGGGTCAGATCCTGACTCTGTCTCCTGATTGGATGATCGTATTAAAGCTCTCTGATTGGTTATAGATGTTCTATTTGAACCAATCAGAGAACTTTAATACAATCATCCAGTCAGGAGACAGAGTCAGAATCTGACCCTAATTCAAACTGATTGGCGCAGCTCAATGAATTTGACCTTTTTTATCCCCAGGTATGGAAAGCCATAGCTGTCTTAAGTGATCAAACGGCATTTTGTTGGGTGCTTTTTGCATTATACGCGGTGCTTTCACCATTATACGCGGTGGTTCTAGCATTATACGCGGTGCTTTCAACATTATACGCGGTGGTTCTAGCATTATACGCGGTGCTTTCAATATTATACGCGGAGGTTCTAGCATTATACGCGGTGCTTTGACCATTATACACGGTTCTTTCAACATTATACGCGGTGGTTCTAGCATTATACGCGGTGGTTCGAGCATTATACGCGGTGCTTTCACCATTATACGCGGTGGTTCTAGCATTATACGCGGTGCTTTCAACATTATACGCGGTGGTTCTAGCATTATACGCGGTGCTTTCAATATTATACGCGGAGGTTCTAGCATTATACGCGGTGCTTTGACCATTATACACGGTTCTTTCAACATTATACGCGGTGGTTCTAGCATTATACGCGGTGGTTCGAGCATTATACGCGGTGCTTAAATCGTTATACGCGGTGGTTCGAGCATTATACGCGGTGCTTTCGGCATTATATGCGGTGCTTACACCATTATATGCGGTGCTTACACCATTATATGCGGTGGTTCTAGCATTATACGCGGTGGTTCGAGCATTATACGCGGTGCATTCATAATTTGCATCATTATGTGGTAGTGAGCCAGTATGTTTGGACAGCGGTTAATATTTATTTAGTTATCAGTCCACAGGCGGCCCAAACTCTGAATGGTCTATATATTTTGAATATTATACGGAATATTTATACGTTATAATCTCTGCGTTGTAATATTTAACGAAATAATTAAAAAATATCAACAATATACCGGGTGTCCCCAAAAAACTATACCTATCATATTAATTAAAGCTAAAACTGAACGGTTTAGAAATAGTTTTATTCCATATGCAATTAGAACTTATTCGTAGTTTTAAATTAACGTTTTAATAATTTTATATTTTCTTATATAGCTTATTTTGAATATGTATCTTAATTAACTTCATATAATGTAAAAACGTGTAATTCAATCCCTGATTGCAAAACATTTTTTATTAAAAATCACAATCACAGTATATAACATTTAATTTTCCGCGCGTTGACAGAGCTATTGGACCATTGGCGTTTTGAAATTGAACTACCATTTCTGAAAAGGTTAAAAATTAGCATAAAACGGCATATCAAATTCCAATTTAGTTTGCCGTGTTGATAATTTTTATTCTTGCTAAAAGAATGAATTTATGTACAAAGGATTGACTAACTGAGTTTACTCATCAGGAAAAGCGTGTCTTTGAGCCTGAATGAACCGTTGTGTAT